ACTGATTGGAATACCTTAAAAAAGGGCTAGAAATTGCCCAGTGAAAAAGGCTTCCTATGAAGCCTTTATATTGCATAAGACCATAGGTGGAATCCAGAACCGACTGAGGTAGGAAATTTCCACTGGAAAGGACGAGTAGACCAGCCTCGAGTGGCTAGAACTTCATGAAACAAAGACCAGCAGGAAAAATCCGAAACAATAACCGCAGTCTGACTGATTACTATAAAAACATGTAAGCTGTTCGGCCGGGAGCCATTAAGGCAAGTGGTCGGGACCCCTCAGAGCAAACCCCCTTCCAAGATCAAAACCCAAGGGGAATATATATGAGCAGGCATGTGGTCTGGCTGGTGATCACATTGGTCACCGATAATGGGAAGAGGGGGTAAAAAACAGCAATGAAACTGCGAGCTAAACCTGACCACATTCAACAGATCCCTATGAACCCAGGAGGAGACCTAGATGGCCAGCAGTATGGCAAGACCTGGGGAGACTCCTGGGTCCAGAGGCAGTGACATGGCCACAGAGGACTACAGCGGAGAGTAAAGCATCCAGCTGATATGAAGTGAGGGAGATGCATAAGAACACACATACTTGCAGATAGTACCCACTTGACCTGGCTTCAATGGCTAAATGATCAGAACTCGACTAGAAGAAGAAAAAAGAGGGATAAAAAAAAAAAAAAAAGCCTGATTTGCTACAATTTGATGAACTTTACCTAAACTTATGGATTTAGTAGCTCAAAAAAGGAAACAAATCTTTACAGCAAGGATCACTCCTACCCCCTCAGTACACAGGGTTCACAGGGATGGGCAACTTAAGACATTGGCTACCCAAAATGGGGCGGCCTATAAAGGCAAGAAGTGACTGGCTTACAAGCTTTCAAGAGGGAGCCTAGTTCCAGACGGGGCGGGGAAAGGTAGAATCACCACTGAATGATTTCCAATCCATTGGGACCGGGCTGGCGAATGGAAACGGGGATAAGACTCTTGTACAATAGTGAATAATTGCCATCAGGACTGACTGTGAGGGTAAGAAATACAGAAGTTGATGTTTATTTGCCAAAAGGAGAGTGATTGATTTTGTAGCCCAGGAGCAGAGGCCCCTGGGACCATCAAGTGAGAAGAACGGAGAGCGGGACCCTACCCAAAGAGGCAGTGACACCAGGGATGGAGACAGAGATGATGATGTGGGCAGATGGAGTGGCTGGGGAAACTGGACTCAGGGAGGGAGAAGGGCTATATGCAGGCAGCTGGGAGGTGGGTCTGTGTGGTATACACCCTTTGGTTATTGGATAATGCATGGAGGGGATTGCAATCATTGTAATGAAATGAAATACGACAGGATGAGTGTAAAGCTGATGTTCTCCCATGTAAACCTCACAATAAAAACATAAAAAAAAATAAAAACAAATGTATAGAAACCAAAGTGGTTATCATAGGGGGCAGGTGGGAGGGAGAGAGGGAAGGGGGGAGGGGTTCATGATGATGGAACGATCCCATTGATTAAGGGTAGAAATGCAGAGCCAATTACTGTAATTGCTATTAACAACTTATACATTATGACAAGTTAAATTGGCAAAAGTTGTGTGACAGATACACACCTACTCCTCACTTATCGACTAACTCAATATCTGACAACTTACACTTAAAACACTAGTAAAACTTCTACTCTCCAACTATTTTGTGCAGTAACAATGTATGTCTGGCAGTAACAGATGCCGAGGAGTGAGACAAGAGTAATACTAGCAGTGATGGTTAAGGTTGTCAGCTTGGCTGGGCTAGGATTCTCCTTGGTTTGGCAGTTTTGCAATGATGTAATTTGGCAATTAAGTAATTATATAGTCATTCTCCATTTTGTGAACTGGTATGGTTGCTATGGATTTTCACATAACGCCAATTTCCAAATGCCAATCAGGTCTTTAATACTTAAACCATGTTCAAAAGATTTCACCAAGAGAGTAAAAAGGGAGCCCACAGAATGGGAAAAAATCTTTTGCAATAACATATAAGACAAGAACTAACTTCTAAAATCTATAGGAAACTACAATACCTCCACAAGAAAAAGACAAGTAACTCAATTAAAAAACTGGACACAGGACATGAACAGATGCTTCACCAAAGAAGATATTCAGGCAACCAACAAACATATAAAGAAATGTTCACGATCATTAGCCATTAGGGAGATGCAATTAAAACAACAATGAGATTATCTCAAACCAGCATTAACAGTGAAGTTCAAAAATGCAGAGGATAATAAATGCTGGCAAGGATGTGGAGAGACTGGGACCCTCCTACATGGCTGGTGGGAATGCAAAATGATCCAACCACACTGGAAAACAGTATGGCACTTCCTCAGAGATTTGGAAATAGAAATACCATATGATCCAGCAATTCTTCTACTTGGTATGTATCCACAAGAAATAAGAGCCATAATGTGAGTAGATAATATGCACACCAGTGTTCACAGCAGCACTATTTACAATAGCAAAAAGGTGGAGACAGCCTAAGTGCCCATCAATGGAAGAATAGATAAACTTTGGTACATACACACAATAAAATAGTATGCTACCTTGAAGAGTAACAAGGAAGCTGCAAGCCACTGCATAACATAGACGAACCTTGAGGACATTATGCTTAGTGAAACTAGTCAGGCACAAAAGGGCAAATATTGCATAAGACCATTATTGTAAAAGCTTAAAAAAAGATACCTATTCCAAAATGAAAAAACAAACCAAAAACTTAACCATGTTGGTAAGTGATGAGTGGGTGTATTTAAAACAACAACAACAAAGAGTAGCAGCTGTGGCTACTTATGTACAACAAAACACCTCAAGGAACCTTAAGCTAACTTGTCTAATAACATGTTTAATGCTTCTGTCCTACATCCTAGCTCACTGCTTAATGCCTCAGGTCTTAAAAGGTTGCTAAAGGAAGCAGAAGAGTCAGGAATAGGAGAAGGATCTGAAATGTATGTCTAACTGCCTCCATAAACAACTGCCTCCTTTGCCGTGAGATCAGAACTGGATGATGCCTAGCTGCCATTACTGAACATTTTGATCAAAGATTCTACAGAAGAATCACAATCAAACAGAGGAAAATGCAGAACAGAATTTCAAATTTTCATGGACTCAAGACATTCTAAAACTATGCTGGGTGGACCAATCCCTGATATTGCCCTGAGATATCTTTAAACCTTAAACTAAAAATATCCCCAAAAGTCATCTTAAAACTGAAAATTTAGCTTAACTTGTAAAAGAAAACCAGCCTTCAGCATTATACTCAATTAAGGACTTGCTTTGTGGAATCAAATTGACAAAAGCAACTCAAAAGATTAAAACTGGAACCTAATGGGACAATGAGTTCATGTTAATGGGGAAAAACAAACAGCTCAGAAAAGGTGGGTGAGAATGGTCGTACAACTTGAAGAATATAATCAATGTCACTAAGTTGTACATGTAGAAAGTACTGAATTGGCATATATTTTGTTGTATATACAAAAGCAAAATAACATTTAGAAAAAAAAAATTTTAGTGCTTCCACCTTGCTCCTGGGGCAGCCTGTCCCTTCCCCTGATTCTCCCAGCTCAACCCGGACCTGGTGGAGCTCTCTCCTGAGGTGTCCTGTCCCACAGCCCACCCCAGGCCCTCTCATGCCCTGCCCCTGTGGGAGTGACAGCCAGCTCATGCACTCACCCTGGGCCTGGTGGAGCTCCCGGGTGAGCATGGCCGTCGCTGCACTCTCCTCATTGAGGCAGTCTAGTAACTCCTTCTGCTTTCTAATGACCTGTGCAGTCTCCTCATTTTTGTGATTAAATTCTTTCTCAAAACGAGAATGAATTTGGCGTGCTTCTTCCAGCTGTTAAAATACATTTGAAAATCAGAATTACATATTGAAAGTAGTCAAAAGTTTATATTAACACCACACTTGGGCAGAATTCCAGTGAATTCATAAATATTCCACAAGAAACAATTTCACTGTTTAGTATTACGTCAATTCCTAAATAAGAAATATTACTCATTCAACAAATTTTCATAGACATATAACATGTAGACACACATAAAATATTTCAAAGAACAGGAAATAGTAACTCTAAATACCAAGAGAGGGAAGGAGTCTTCACATCAATTATCAATGCTATCCCCTCTGAATACAGGGTAGATAGGGACGGGCAACTTAGACATTGGCTATCTAAAATGAGGGGGTGATAAAGGCACAAAGTTTTCAAAAGGGAGTTTAGTTTAAGAGTGTGTGGGGGAAGATAGAGTCCCCACTGAATAGTTTTCATCTTGTCTAGATGGGTCTGGTGAAAAGAGATGGGGACAGGATTCTTATGATTCATTAGTGAGTAACTGTTATCATGACTAATTACGACTGTCACAATTGTAAAGGTAGAAGTTTTGTAACAAAAACAAGGGAGTACTCCAGAAACAAAGGACCCTAGGACCATCAAGGGAGAAGAGCACAATTCTCTCTGGAATGAGACTTTATCCAGAGAAGCAGCAACACACCAGAGATGGAGGCAGAGATGGGGACATGGAGAGAGGTAGCAGTTGAGAACTTTAGATTTATGGGAAAAAAAGGGACTAAGAGCTGGCCACCAGGAGGCAGACTTGCAGAATGTGCCTTTTGGTGCTGAAAATTATTGTATATGCCTGAGTGTTTAAAAAAAAAAAAAAGCTAAAGTAAACAGAAAGAACCACTGGTAACTGATGGTACATGGAGGGGATTATAATCATTGTAATGAAACAAGGTGTAGGATTTGTTGAATGTAAAACTGATGTCCTGCCCTGTAAACTTTTACTCAATCCACAACAAAAATGTTAACTTAAAAAAAAACTTTTTTTTTTTCAAAGAACAAATGCAACAGACCAACTATGTAAGAGAGGACCAGGCTACAGGGCAGGGACAGGCCAGGAAGGGGGGTGGGGGAGGGATACTGACCTCAAGTACACACATCACAGGGACCAAGGGCACCTCACTCTAGTATACAGACACTCCAAGTGTGTGCCACCAACAATGTCTACATTCTAATTTAACAGCAGCCCTGATTCCACCTCCATGTGCTCTGGGGCCTCTTTCCACTCATGCTTCGCCCTTCTACCTCCTCACTCAGAAGCTGACAGACACTCAGTCACGGTCTCCCAGTTTGTTCAGGATTGTAAGGACCAGATTCCAAGAAAACCCTGCTTTTTCTACCTTTGAAGCAGCCCCTCTCTAGCCACCACTTTTCATCCCACCGTGCCCATAGACAACCTCATAATACCCACTGCCTGACCGCAAGCCTGCCCTTCCTGCAGTCAAGGCTACTTCACAAGCCAGCCAAAAGCCAGCGAGTCATAGATGCTTGTCTGAGCATGGCGTTGATGTGCGCCCCCACGCCCCTTGTGAAGCCCTTCCCTTGGCACCTCCACGTCCCTCTGTGGCCTGCTCCCTTGGCATACTCTACATTCCTACATCCCCACATCTGTGTAGTCGCCTCCCCAGCAGGCTCACACACATAAGGCAGCATATGTGAATGGAGTACGCTGACAGCAATAAAGGTCCAGGAACAGCTGTGCTCCCACAGCCCACCTGGGCACACTGGGGTAGGCACATTTCAGTTTAATAATATTAGGGCATCTGGGTACTTGTGGTTGCCTAAATTCTGGGGCTAGAACTGATGAGAGAAGTGGGTAAAAAGGGAAAATGGCACAAGAAAGGCAGTAGGAGAGAACAAGAAAAAGAAACTTTGATTTTAAAACTGTGACCTGCACCACACCCCACTGACTCCACCAAGGAGAGAAAAATCAGCAAGTGGTTCTGCAGTGTAGACAACACCTCGAATAAAAACGTTTTAACTGGACTGACTCCGCAGAAAAGAGCCTCTTACTTTATTGCTCTGCATGCACTCTTGTGTAACTAACTTCTTTTCTAATTGTCCAAAATGTTCTAAAGAATAACAAAATCATTCCCTTAGTAACAATTTCTAAAGTTAAATACAATCTTTGTGGAATTGCAACAGAGCATCAAGCTAATTTATGTATTACCTAAGTTAAACAAACAGGTTGGTTTATCATTCATAGCAAGCCTACCTCCTCAAGAAATTTGGTTTAGAAAAGACATCTAAAGGAAAATGTGTGTGAGGGCAGTGAAAGGCTTTGATAAGCATCCTAGAAATTCACAGCAGACTTTCTGGCCCAGGCACCAGTGGCAGAGGGGCAGAAGGGAAGCAAGTTCCAGAGGGAAGCTCCTCAGTGGAGGCAGCTGATGACTGCCTCCAGCCTGGAGCACAACCATCCCACAACACCTCACCTGCAACAGAGTATGCACCTTGTCTATAACCCACTCTGAGGGCAGATTCAGCCACATGCAGATGAGACTGTATAAGAAGGTCCACACAGCACCTTACCTGTCTGTTGGAGTCCAGGGCCATCTCTAGGAGATTGTCCACGGCCACCCTGAGGCTCTGGTATACCTTCTTGACTGGTTGCTCATACTCCATTGTGGCTTCTGGGCTCATAAAGAAGCTCTCGCACACATGACTGCTGATCTCAGCCACTGCCGAAACCTCTGCAGGCTCAGGCAGTGTACCATCAGGCTGTAGTAGGGCTGTGCCAAGCTCAGGCAGGGTCTCGTCCAGTGTGGGGCCTGCAGAAATCAGCAGACCCAGAGCCCTTCACACACAGTACAGCAAGTCAGCCCCAGAAAATAGCTTTAGATAACACACAAACTGCACTTATCAAGTCACAGAAAACTCTCAGGATGATTGCCCACCACAGGAACAGGCAGCAACATTGAGCAGGAGCTAAGAAGCTCCCACTCAGCCCAGCTCTTGGATATCCTTGAAGAATGGTCTCCTCCAGAGAAGTCAGCAGTGGCAGGCAGGGTAAAAAAGGCAGCAGCTCACATTATTGCCACAATGCTGAGTCCTAAGCCAGCCCCTGAAGGAACCCTATCAACAGCTCCTTCCCAAGGCCACCCAAGCACCCAGTCTAAGACTTCAAGAACAGTCCTAGCAGCTTTTCCTTCTCAGTTGGTCTGCAGCATTCCAAAGGGGCCTGAAGGCTGCAGGTACAAATCCCCAGGAGGCCCACAGGTGACCAATAACACCAGCTTTTTAGGGACCTTCTCAGAAAGCCAGACATAGCTGTCCTAGGAAAGAAAGCACATACCTGTCTCATGCACATAGTTCATCCTCTGAGAAAAATAAATGACTAACCACATTACACAATATTCATTCCACAGTGTACTTACTCTAAAGAGTCACTCAAACAACCAGGAGGAGTCAAAATGAGAAGCTGTCTGGTACTGAGCTGAATGCTAGTCTGTACACTTACCTGCACACAAGATATCGATGCTTGACCACATGTCAGGTGTGCTCTCTCTACCAGTGGCCCCCACATCTTCTAGACAGAGCCCCACACGCTCACTGATCTGATTCCTTATGGAAATCGCAACCCTCAGTGTCTCTCCAAATAAGCTCAGCAGCCTTCTGAGGGCATCCTGGAGTGCGTTCCTGAAGGAGGACAAAATATTCAGGAGACAACACCAATCAAAGAGGTACTGGCTAGTACCTTGGCAATGTAGCACAGGTAGGAGTGTGTGGTGGGAATCACTATGAGATGCCACATAGGCGGGAAGCACACTGGTCATGCTATAATACATGGGGAGACAACCTTCAGCAAAACAGTACAAAAAGCTCAACAGACCTTCTCGCTAGTAAATGACTTTAAAAATAAGCAAAATGGCCATTTAAAACCTCTGGAAATGGTCCTTGGGCAGAAGCAGATTAAGAAACACCTACTGAGGAACATCTACAAAAATACATTAAGAAAGCTAAGAGTCTATGGTATTCGAAACAAAACCCCTCCCTTTCTTCCTTTTCCAGCTCAACAAGGTTTCTCTCCTAACAGTTGTAGCCAAATAAAAGTTCCTCTTCCCCTCACACCAAACTGAAGGGTTTCTCTGGAGATAAGCAGGATGTCAACATTTCTCCTCCTTCCCCCCACCTGCCTGTTAATGAGGTGACATTGAAGTGAATGCATCCAAGAGGTGGGGTCCCCTTTCTGGCACCTAGCCTTCATTTAAAGTAGCAGGGGCTCAATCCCACATACAGCATGCTGAGAAGTCTAGGGCCTTGATCAACCTCTTCACCCATATCATATAGTAAGAGTTCATCACCAGGAGGGGCAAGCTGAAGGTCTCCAGAATGCTGCCCTAACTACATTCAATGCTCAGCTCTTAGAAATGGAGGTGACAGACCCAAAGCCCTGGTTCTGAAATTTTCCTTAATGGACTGTGTGAAGTATACTGAAAAAACATGAAGCTATTAACCTCTTTCCAAGAAAGTGACTACATTTGCAACTGAGCCTAGACAAGTTCAAGTTTACGGATACTCTTAGGGGTGAAAGGCACTGTTAGAAGATAATGGAGACTGTAAGCCAGCAGTTTTCAGACAGAACCAGGGAATAAGACAGTAGGGAAAAGCCTTCCTGGAATCAGGACAAATAAACATTTATCTCAAAAACGAATCCATCAAGTCATCAAGGCAAGCAATTAAGTCCCTTCAGGACAACACCCCCCACCCCCAAAAGACTGAAACTCAAAGGGAACATATGGGCAGGCATGTAAGCTTGCTGGCGACCACACCTGTCTACTGGTGAGTGGAAGAGGTAGAAAGGCAGGAATGAAGAAATGTACTGAGTTCAATGTGGTTGATGTATGTAATGTGTTACATAGACTCCTACTGACCTGGAGATGAGAGAGAGAAATGGAAGGGCTGGTTGGTCCAAAGTGTAGTGAGACCTGGGGACACCTGAGCCCATGAACAAGGACATAGCCATAGAGGGCTAGAGCTGAGAGTGAAGAGTCCAGCTGATATGAAGTGAGGGGAGATGCTTAAGAACACCTATATGTACAGATAGAAATTCAGGCAAATCAATAGAAATTTTGCAAGCCAAAGAAGATAAAGGTGAAAAACTGAGAAAAAGTCTCAGAAAGTGTGTGTGATACCATCAAGTGTACCAGCATATGATCACTGAAATCTCCAGATGATAAGAGTGGAGAAGGAAAAGGATTCAAGGGAATAATGGCTGAAAACTGCAAAATTACATATCCAGAAAGCTCAACAAACTACAAATAGAATATTCTAGATTGACAGCCACATCATAGCAAAACTGCTGAATCTTAAAAACAAGGAAAACATTTTGAAAGGTGCACTTATGAGAGAACTCCAATAAGATTGGCAACTGGTTTCTCAGTGGTAATACCACAGTTAGACGCTGTAGAATGACATATTCAGAGTGTTCAAAACAGCCAAAAAACTGTCAATTGAGAATCCTACATAAAGCAAAGCTATCTTCAAAACTGATTTAAAAGTTATTATGTAATTGTTGGGCCTATAACAGATAGAAATGTAATATTATGCAATAATATCATAAAAATGTACTTAAGAAGAAAGGTGGGAGCAATGCTGTAAATGGGCTGAGGAAATGACTTTGGTGGTTGGTGGTTATGTGCTGTGGAGTCTGTTCTGACTCATAGCAACCCTGCACAGGGTTTCCGAGGCTGTAAATCTTTACAGGAGCAGAAAGCCTCATCTTTCTCCCGCGGAACAGCTGGTAGTTTCGAACTGCTGACCTTGATGTTCACAGCCCGATTCGTAATCACTACGCGACCAGAGAGTTAAATGATAATAATGTATGTTGGATAATTGATTAAAAATATGTAACAATACTAATAAAAATCAGAAAAGCAAGCAAAGTTGTATAGAATGAAGCAAATATGAATATGAAGCATATTCTGGTAATATCATCTCCTATATGGTAAACTCTTTCCGCAGGAGAAAGATGAGGCTTTCTGCTCCCATAAAGATTTACAGCCTCGGAAACCCTGTACAGGGTCGCTATGAGTCGGAACCAACTCCATAGCATATAACCACCACCACCATATGCTAAGCCCTAGAGCAAGGGTGGGAAATGTTGGGACTGTGGGCTACATAAGGACCATGATATCATGTGGTCTGGCCTTGCCAAGGCAACTGCAGTTCCACCCATTACATTGTTGTTGTTGTTAAGTGCCGTAAAGTTGATTCCGACCCATAGCGACCCTGTATAGGGTTTCTGAGGAGCAGCTGGTGAACCTGAACTGCCGACCTTGCAGTTCAAACACCCATTACATTACAGATGGGTTAATTAAATGTTTGACCAAATATAGCAGGGTAATTTTTAAACTGATAATTTTGTATGGCCCACGAATGAAGGAGGGAGGAAGGGAGGTAAGTAGAACAAGGAATGACACAGTGAGGGTACAAGAAGATTTTTAAATTGTATTTGGCAAAATGTTAAGATTTGGCATTAAGAGGTTTTCCCACCCATGCGCTAGAGTGAACACTGAAAAAACAAAAACTAAAAATATATACTAAAAAATCATTACAAATGTCAAAGGCTACATTAAAAATATTCATTTAATGTAGAAGAAAGCAGCAAGGATGAATAAAGAAACAAAACATACATGGGACATATCATAAACAAAGTGAAATGCTAGGCATAATAATGCAATCATATCAATAACAACAGTAAATGTGAACTGGTCAAATAATCCATTCAAAGATCAGAAACTTTCAAACTGAATTAAAAACAATGAGAAGAGTCTAACTATCTGCCATTCTAAGATACAAACAGATTAAACAAAAATGGATGATGAAATAAATAACATGCAAAGAACATCCACAAAAAACAGGAGTGGCCACACTAATTAATACCACACAAAATAAGACTTTTAAAAGAGATATTACTAGACCCACACCTATGTGGTAAAGATGAAATCACATTCTGGAGCTATCAGATACCAGTGAAGTTGGTGGAAGAAGTAGGACAGAGAGAAGTGAGTAGAACAAGGAATGACATACTGAGTGCACAACAGGATTTTTAAATAGTATTTTGCGGAATGTTAAGTTTTGGCAAAGCAAGGTAGTAAATGGATAGGCAGTGGTTATATTATTTAATACTTTTTCCTACATTTAAATACAACGAATAATGTGGACACAGGGCTTTCTGCCCACACTACCAATGGACTGTAATAAAGGACCACAGAATGAGTGGAAGAGAAAAATTAAGTCCGTATCTGCACCAGCCAATGGGAGCCAGAGCCAGCCATGGGCAAGGCAGCACTGCTGGTGCCACTGGGGATGAAGTGTGCAGGCACTGACCTTTCACTGCGAGATAAATCTATATCAGACTTCAGCATAGAGATGAGATTTGTGCCTTCCTGGTTTTCTCGTTCACGTCTTTGCTGTAGTTCATTGAGTTCAGAATTACACTCTTCAATCTCATTACTTAAGGATGCAATTTGGTCTTTCAGCTGTTCAGAAAAAATATCTGCATTTTAGTTAAAACAATTTAAATAATTTACTTTCAGGAAACTTTCATGATTACATTTAACAATATTATGATAAAAGCTTAATAAGATAGTGATTAAGGTCAAAATTATTAATATAGCTTTTCCTTCTTTATTCATTACCTACAAAAAAGAAAATACACAAATAACTCTTCTCCAATCTTGCCATTGAGGGGGCACATATTATTCTCACTAATAGTAATTTATATTAAAATCTCTACATCTGGTCATTCGGAATAAAGACTAGCTGCCAGGCAAGCAAACATGTTTCTTACATATTTCTCTCTGAAAATAAAAACGAGCCAATCTCACCTTAGGTGTCTTCACTGTGTGGGCCACGTGAGCAGGTAGCACCAACTGCCCTGATGTCACTGACTGCCACTGGGCTCCCTACAATCTCACTGGACAACAGCTACCAGTCCCAGTGCTAACACCATGCAACTTACAGTGACAAACATGTCTTCCAAGCAAAAGAACCTCAGTCCCACAGTCCAAGTGTCTCTCCCTAGACCTACTCGTCAGTAGCAGAAATTTTTATGAATGGGTCGCATTCACTACCGTGAACACAGGCTTCATTCCCACAAAAGATGAAATTGCAAAGGAGACACAACTGAGCATCACCATGCAGTCAAAGGAGATGCCTCCCCCCAACCATTGCTGCTGCTGGGCAGGAAATGCTGTGACAAGCTGATGTGCTGGGGGGGTCTCTAGTTTAACATCATTGAGGAGGAACCCAAAGGCAACTGCACCAACACTGACTGACTCAACATGGAGAAGCTACAGCACATTACACTTGAATGGACTTCTCTTTATTCAAAGACTTTGGGGGAGAGCACAATGTTAATTAATACCTTTACTCATTAGGAGGCTACAATAATCAGAAAGGTGAATATTCCAAATGGACAGTTTCGAAATAAACTGAATAGAAAGCTAATGGAGCTACAAAGATAAACTGAGAAATCCAATGTTGTAGTGTTATATCTTAACTACTGCCCCTACTAACTGATAGTACATTTAAAGAAGAGAGATGAAAGAAAGAGCAACAGGAAAAATACAAAACAATATAGGCAGACAAATTTGATGAACCTGACCTACACCTATGGATGCAGTAGCTCAAAAGATGCAACAAATCGTTGCAGCAGGGATCATTCCCACCCCTTCCATACACAGACTAGACAGGGATGGGCAACTTGGACACTGGCTATCCAAAATGGGGGGCATACAAAGGCAAGACGTGACTGGCTTACAAGCTTTCAAGAGGGAACCTAGATCCAGAGGGCGTGGAGGAAGGTAGAATCTCCACTGAGTAGTATCCAATCTGTCTAGGCGGGACTGATTAAAGGAAATGCGGATAGGTCTCTTGTGATGCAAGGGTGAATAACTGTTACCAGGACTGACTGTGAAAGTTGTAAATGTAAAAGTGGGCATTTTGTGGCAAGGAGGGGAGTGATTGACTTTGCAGGCTGGGAGCAGAAGTCCCTAGAACCATGAAGAGAGAAAAGAGCAGAGAGCGGAGAGCAGAACCCTACCCAGAGAGGCAGCGATCCCCGAAATGGAGGCAGAGATGATGATATGGAGAGATGGAGCAGCTGGGGACTCAGGACCCAGGGAGGAAGAGGGGCTATGTGCTGACGACCAGGGCAGGGTGGGGGTGGGGGAAGCAGGCTTATAGGATGTACCCTTTTGTTGATTGGTGATGCGTGGAGGGGATTGTAACCATGGCAATGAAACAATATACGATAGGATGAATGTAAAACTGATGTTGTCCCATGTAAACTGTCACATAATTCACAAAACTTA